ACATAAACAGATACTGACCAATTATCTTCCCTAATTCACATTCCCAGCAGCAAGTATAAGTGTTCTTTTTCCCAAAACCTCCCCATAACTGAGTATTATCTATCTTTTTACAATCTTTCCAATCTGATGGCTAAAAAACATGGCATCTTGCTTTGCATTTCACGGGCCCCTAGTTGTTTATTGTCTCATATTTTCTCTTTGTGGGTTGCCTTTTCATAGTCTGTTTTTCTAGTGGATTATGTATCTTTTTTCCATTTATACATTAAGAAGATTAAGCCTTTCTTTATATACAGATTTTTCATCACAAATAACTGTTGTATATTATATAGATAAAAATGTATTACTTCTCATTATGCCTCAGGGCTTTAAGGACATCAGTTTCATTTTTCATGCAGAAAGTTGAGGAGGATTACACATTTCAATATAAAGAACATTTATTATGAACAGTTTATTCAGCAATTAATTACTGTGTTTTTATGACATGCAAAGCATTATACTAGAACACAAGACATCAGTGCATATCCTCTAGGAGCTTAAGTCTAACGGGGCAGCTAAGTCAGAGACAAAGAGATACTTCAAGTGATAACTGAAGCAGTATGTGATGGAATGGCAAAAATTGGTGACCATGAGTAGACAACAGGAGGTACCTTATGTTCATGTCATTTTTGCCTAAATCCAAATCAGAGTAAAAGCTAAAGGTGATTACATAAACTCAAAGCCTGGTTTCAAAGCCAACAGTCTCCAAAGCGAGGCAAGTACACCCCAGGCCAAGCACTCAGTAACCCATTCAGGAACAGAAGAAAATGTTAAAGTTGCTATTATAATGACTTCTGTATGTTTTAGAAAGGGGGGAGGGAAAGCCACAAAGTTTATAAATTTGTCTTCTTTAATCTTTATGAGTTTTTAGTCCTGGAGGACTCATGCGATCTGTATATCAAGCAGGTCATTCCTCATGGTCTGTTTGCAAGGTAACTTGGGGGCAGTGTCAAGGTCCACACCCAGAGGGGTTACAATGGGACCTTCACCATATTGCGGTATTCATCAGGCTAAGTAATTCTCAAGGTATATTACCTAATTTTAACTACTAACTAATTTTAAAACTATCCTTCCCAAAATAAGCAAGTGGCTTACATCGATTACTCCAAAGAAACGATGAACTGAAACAGTAACAGTAGTATTGATACAAGGTCAAGCAAACAAGAAGACGGCAGAGCTGACACTTGTCGTAATGGGTGCTCTTCACTGGCCACAAGTGCAACAGAGACGGTCTGATCTGATCTAACAGAAGGCCAGCCTCCCTCCAAACAAATGTTCAAATTATCAAAAAGGCTGATCTGAAGCAGACTTATATTTAGTATTTTTAACTCAAAACCTTACCATGAGTATATACTGAGCTATTCACTTACGAGTACAATTTAGAAACACACTGTCAAATCCGGTAATAACATGATAATATGGATTTGGAGACTGGCTCCTTCTCCCAGGCCCCAGGTACATCAGAGGGAGCTGAACTTTTTGCATCCCAGGTCACCACATGCCCCAGGATCGTCCTGTTAACACGTTATCAGGGGCCAACAAGGGACAGCAAACTGTGGTCAGTAGCATCTGGATGATCTTGACTGTGCAGCTGGAGGCCTCAGCTTCCAGCCAGCATGCAGTGCACGTGCCTCTCATCATTCTCTTAATCTCACAATACAGGTCATCTTACAACAATGAAAACTTTAATTCCTGCTTTTCACATTGCAGGTGGTTTACTCTAGGGGTGCAAGCCCAAAACTGCTTTCCTGATAGGACTGCATGATCAAAAAGCTTAGAGGACACAGCTGTAAGCTATGTTCTTTGCTCGAGATATCACTCACTCTCAAAATTCTGCCGTAAGAGCTACAGGTGAGAAAGGAAATGACCTGCTTTGGGGGGAGGTTAACTTCAGGACAGTCACATAAAATGTTTACAGAAAACAACCATGTAGTCCCAACACAAAGGTTAAAGCAAAGTTTGTCGCGATCTTACATCCTTCTTAGAAATTACTTGCTGGTTTTTTTTTTAAGTTTTCTCTAGTTGTTTCCTTTTTACCATGTTGAAAGGTAATCTCCGTGAGAACAAGGTCCAAGTCTCCGAATTCAGGTTGGCTGTATGATGGTAGCTAATCATCTACCTGATTTTGGGCTTCAGTTTCTACATTTGTAAAATGATAGGACATCAATGTAGCTATAAAGTTATTTCCAAATCCATGTTTACAGTTCTAAGAAGAGCTGTGACAGTAGTTATTACTGATATGTATACTGGAAAAGGCATCACCGCATAAGCAAACACGTTTCGTGGCAGTGGAAGCCTAACTGATATATGGCTGCCTACAATATTAGGGTAATAGAATAGATCGAGCAATAGACACCAGCAAACTCATAAGAGTTTTTATTAATCATTCACTCAGGGAAATGTAAAGAACACCTACTATATACCAGTCAGGGTACTAGGTACTTAGGGATAAAGGATGAATAAGACAAAATTCTTGCTACAATCCATTCATTCATTCATTCACCAGGTGTTTCTTGAATGCCTACTGTGTGTCAGTCACTGTTCAAGAAACACCTTGATATGGCCCTGAACACAACAGACACAGTTCAAAATAAGAAAAAGAAAAGGAGGGGCAAGGATATTAAAAAAAAAAGACTTGTAGCTAGCTGAATACTCTCCTCCACAAGGAGCAGAAAGAGCAGAACAAGATATTATAAAATTCTATAAGACAGCTATGAATACATCTGTGGTGACTGTTATAACAAAGTCCCCAAGTTCTTTGATACTTCTCCATCAAGAGGAAAGAATCTACATGCTTCCCTCTCAAATCTGAGCTCTCTGACTACTTCAATAATAAAGTACCACAGAAGTGACACTCGGCCAGCGATGCTCGGCAGGCTCAGGCCTCAGAAACCAGCAGCTTCCTCTTTCTGTCTCTCGAAACATTCACTCTTGGAACCCAGCTGCCATGCTCTCCAGAGGCCCAGGCCACGTGCAGGTGTCCCTGCTCAAAATCATCATGACGTGTGACTGAGGGTACCACCAAATGACACCAGCCTGAGTCATCCCAGGGGACAAGTCTTTCCAGCAGAGGCTCCAGACATGGTGGAACAGAAACAAACCATCCCTGCTTTACCCTGGCCAAAATCCTGACTGCTATGATTTGGGATGATTTGTTACACAGTAGTAGATGACTGGAACACAGTTAAGATATAAGAGGTATTTTTCACGTGAAGATACCTTGAATCCAATTACTTTTTCTATATAGTATATAAGTACCATTAAAGTTAATTAACTAAATAGAAAACCATATTTAAACTCTCATGAGGCTCAAAATCCTGACGATTATCAAATAAAACAAAGAAAGAGAGATCAGACAGATAGCCATTAATATTTCTCATGGCATTAACAAATACTCTGTATTAACAGAGTTAAGTATCCAAGTTTATTCACTGGGCAATTATTTACAGAGTATGTTAATGACATTAAATGCTGAGAAGAAACATAAAGGAAGGAAGGAGGTTAGGGAATGTTGCTGATAGTGGTTATGATGGGGAGGGCCTGCCAACATTGCCGTGACATTTGTGTCAAGACCTTACAAAAGTGGAGGGAGTAAGCCATGTGAACATATGAGAAAAGAGTTTTCTAGATAGAGCGAATAGTAAGTACAAAGGCCTTGGGGCCAGTGTGGCTTTGGTTGATTGAGCAAGAAAGCAGTATTAATAAAAAATGAGGTCAGAGAGGAAACTGGGGGCCAGAGAGTAAAGGCAAATTCTGGTTAAAATAAAAAACCTTTCAGCTGGAATCAGAGGAACCAAATTCAATCAGAGCAGGAATGTTCTTGTCTGTTTCATTCACCAATTAATCTCCAGCACCTGTAACAATGCTTAACCCCTGGTAGAAGGAATGAGGTCTTGGCTCTGTCACTTAGCAGCTATTTGACTTTTAACAAATGACNACTTAATCTTACATCAGCTTGGTGAAAGAATGGAGGGAAAGGGGGAGCATGAGGAACATTCTCAAGATGGCAAAGATGTTTTTTAGAGAGGCCAACTAAGCCAATCATTTCAAACTGCTTGAATCCCACTTGGGGACAAAAAAATCTACTACCCAATTCACTCCAGCTGGAGACAGCTTCAGTTTTCTCATCTGTAAATGGGGATTCTATCACCTTAAGAATGCTTCAATTCTGTAACTAAATAATGCACACAAAAGCATTTGGTGTATATATATGCTAAGAACTCACTAGACCCTGGATGAACCTGAGTATTTTTCATATATTCAACAAATACTAAGTAAACATCTATAATATGCTCAGGACCACAAACAAAAAGGACAAAAATCTAGTTCTCCTGGAGCTAACATGTACCTCCTGTCACTCCATTGGCACCTCCTGTTTTCTGAAACTACATTTGGCTTCCAGCACGACCTCCGCCACACACAGAGTCCTTTGGGATTTTGCAGATAGCTATCACGCACCTCCCTCTCCACCCCGCTTTCTCCGGCCTAAACAAACGGCCTCAGATACTCCAAGGAGTAAGCAAGGATATGGAAACAGGGAGCTACAACAGGGCTGGGTGGGGCGAAGGCAGGTTCCCAGGCGCCTGGGCAGAAAAAGAAATGAATCAAACCTCCCAGACTTCAGGCCAAGGTCACGAAGGGCTGGTCCAACTCAGGTGTGTCACCTGACACCTCTCCCAGGAACGGCTTCCCTCCCCTCCCAGGCCCACAGTGGTCCCGGCCCTAAGGTGGATGAGGGAGAGCCGATATGGCACTCATCCCTATGTCTTCGCCTTTTCTTCCCGGTCGCCTCGGAGAGAATTCCCTGCATCATTCTCGGCGTTTCCAGGCTTCCCCCTCCCTGGACCCTGCCCCTCCGCTCCCTGAGGCCCCTCTGAGAGCTACCTCACACCCAAGCTCTCCGTCTCTTCATCGCCTCAGCTACCCGCCGGGCCCCGGAGACGCTTGCGCCCAACCGCACTCACCTGCGAGCCCAGTCCCGGCCCCTCCATCTCCCCAGTGGCGGCGGCGACTCGACAAAGTGGCGGCGGCGGCCCGCTGGCCAGCCCGCCTCGAGCCTTCTCTACTCCCACTTCCTCCTGTGACTCCGCCTCCACGGCGTCCTTGGCTCGAGGGCTGCGCCGTCAATCGGCCTCGAAAAAGCCAATCCCTGCCCTCCTCTCGGCTGGGGGCGGGACTCTCACGCTGCCAGGGAGGCTAGTGGAGAACTGCGAGTCGGAGCCACGCCCACACCCCGCCCACGCCCCGCCCACGCCGGGTGCTAAGAGCCGCTGGCCAAGGCTGTGCACTGCTTAGCCAGGTAGGTGTCCACCTGTCCGCACGCCTCATCCTGCCGCTAGTACACGTCCAGGATCTGGCTGTTATTCCAACGTCAAGCACCATCTGCCGAGTGCAAATCGGGACTTGGCTGTTTAATAGTTAAATGGCCTTGTGAAATCGTCTATTAACTTTACCTCAATTTCAACATCTGTGAAATGGAGAAGACGAGGGTACCTATTTCACAGAATTGTCATAAGGATTAAACGAAATAAAGCATGTAAAGCCCCTTAGCCAATGTTTGACATAAGTAGGAACCAATAAATGTTAACTATTAAAACATTTGCCACTCTCTGTTCCTGTGATCTTGGGCAAGTCTCTTTCACCTCTGGGGCTGTTTCCTCAGCAAAAGAAAAAAAATATATGAGTTCCATCGCTCAGGTGGATTGGGAAGAGCCCCCATCCGCGCTCCCCATGCCCTTTTGTGAACTCCATTGAAGTAGCTGACACCTAACCTCTATTCAGCCTGAAGGACAGATATGAAGCTAGGTGAAGACTTAGCTTCTGCCCTTGGGAGTCCACTGGGGCAATGGGGCTCTCCTACCTCAGCCTCCAGAAGACACTAGGGCTTCTTCTAGCCCAGCACTTAATACAGTCTTTGCAATTATTCCTTAATGTATCTGTTCTGTTGCCAAACCAAACCTTTGGAAGTTAAATGGGAAAAGGGTTGAAAGAATTATGTCTTCTCTATTCTACTAAAATGGTTCTAAACCATAAAATAAATGTCTAGAAAGTAAACAAAGAGCCAGTTTTTCCTGTGATAAATATTGTAATACAGTATAATTGTAAAGCTTTACTGTTATTATTATTATTATTATAGTGCCACTACCTATTGGGAACATCCAGTCCTGAGAAGGCAATGGCACCCCACTCCAGTACTCTTGCCTGGAAAATCCCATGGATGGAGGAGTTTGGTAGGCTGCAGTCCATGGGGTCGCTACCAGTCGTACACGACTGAGCAACTTCACTTTCACTTTTCACTTTCATTCATTGGAGGAGGAAATGGCAACCCACTCCAGTATTCTTGCCTGGAGAATCCCAGTGACAGGGGAGCCTGGTGGGCTGCTGTCTATGGGGTCACACAGAGTTGGACACGACTGAAGTGATTTAGCAGCAGCAGTTCCGAGTTGCCCCAAAAGCCCAAGGTCTTCGAGGCTGGGGCCTTATCGTATCCACCTGTGAACTCCTGGTGCCTGGCACAGCATTGGGACATGGAAAGCTTGGTACAACTTTACTGAGTGGATGGGTGGATGGATAGGTGTGTCATCAACTTCTATGATACAAGTAAGGATAAATTAAGTGGCAAATAGAAGTGCAAGCAACTTTCCTTGAGACAAGTTCGTGGAGCAAGCAATCAATCTGAACACCCTAGGATGAGGCATTGGGCACGGTTTCACAGAGGAGAGAGCCTTTGGTCATGGTCATTTTGCTTAACAAGAGCTCTGTTTATTGATCACTTGCTATGTTTCCAGAAGGAGAAACTGTGGTTCAGACTGATTCCATAAACCCCAAATCACTCAGCTGGTAAGTGGTGGAGAAAGGATTCTAACCCATGTCTCTTACCGCAAAGTGATTTGGCAGAAGTGATTTGGTTGTTTCACTTTCAAGTCTGCTCTTTTTTTTTTTTAAATGCCTCTACTGAGCTACATCAGATTGGGATGGGTATATCTGCAGCTAATGGCTGAAGGAAATGCCATCCTTACTGGTCATCTTTGAAAATGCCTCTGGCTTAGCATGTTGACATAGCACTGGAGAATACCCTAATGGTAGGGGGCATGTTCCTGGAGCAGACCGCCTGGGCCTAAATCCCCACTGAGTTGTCATATGATCTTGGGCAAGTTGCTCAATCTCTTTGTGTTTCAGTTTCCTAATCTGTAAAATATAAAAATGGTAAAATGATAGGACTTACTTCACAGGGCTGTTGGGAGAATTAAATGAGCCATTGTACGTAAAGTGCGTAGAGGAGTGCATAGGCCCTGTATGTGGGTTAGCTGCTGTTGTCATTGTTATCGTCCTCCTCAGCAGTGGGTGGTGGAGAGAGTACCAAATCGACCAGCCGAGGTGTCCATATAAAGGGCTGAGGACACATTCAGCAGACCTGGCTTCTAGTCCAAACTTTGCCATTATTTACTGTCTATATTAGTTGGCTTAGAGCTGCCATAACAAAGTACCACAGGCTGACTGGTTTAAACAGCAGAAATTTATGTTTCTCACAATTCTAGAGGCAAGAATCCAAGATTACGGTGTCAGTGGGGTTGTTTCTTCTAAGGTCACTCTCCTTAGATTCAGATGGCTATCTTCTTCCCGTGTCTTCACACTCCCTCTGTGTGTGTTATCTGCACTCTATCTCCTCTTCTTATAAGGACACTAGTCATAATGGATTAGGGCCCTAAAATGACCTCATTTGAACTTCTCTCTTTAAAGACTCTACTTCCAAATTCAGTCACATTATACGGTACTAGGAGTTAAGACTCCAACATATGAATTGGGGGGAAGAGCAAAATGCAGCCCATAACACTGTGTTCAGTTCAGTTCAGTTCAGTTCAGTTCTTTTCAGTTCAGTCGCTCAGTCATGTCCGATTCTTTGTGATCCCATGGACTGCAGCACGCCAGGCCTCCCTGTCCGTTATCACTCCAAGAGCTTGCTCAAACTCATGTTCATTGAGTCGGTCATGCCATCCAATCATCTCATCCTCTATCGTCCCCTTCTCCTTCTGCCTTCAATTTTTCCCAGCATCAGGGTCTTTTCCAATGAGTCAGTTCTTCACATCAGATGGCCAAAGTATTGGAGTTTCACTTCAGCATCAGTCCTTACAATGAATACTCAGGACTGATCTCCTTTATGATGGACTGGTTGGATCTCCTTGCAGTCCAAGGGACTCTCAAGAGTCTTCTCCAACACCACAGTTCAAAAGCATCAATTCTTCAGTGCTCAGCTTTCTTTATAGTCCAACTTTCACATCCATACATGACTACTGGAAAAACCATAGATTTGACTAGATGGATCTTTGTTGGCAAAGTAATGTCTCTGCTTTTATACTATGCTATCTAGGTTGGTCATAGCTTTTCTTCCAAGGAGCAAGTGTCTTTTAATTTCATGGCTACAGTCACCATCTACAATGATTTTGGAGCCCCCCAAAATAAAGTCTGTCACTGATTCCATTGTTTTCCCATGTATTTGCCATGATTGATGGGACTGGATGATGCTGAGTTTTCCAAATTTGCTGGCAAATTGAGTGCAATACTTTCACAGCATCATCTTTTAGGATTTGAAATAGCTCAACTGGAATTCCATCACATCCACTAGCTTTGTTCGTAGTGATGCTTTCTAAGGCCCACTTGACTTCACATTCCAGGATGTCTGGCTCTAGGTGAGTGATCACACCATTGTGATTATCTGGGTCATGAAGATCTTTTTTGTACAGTTCTTCTGTGTATTCTTGCCACCTCTTCTTAATATCTTCTGCTTCTGTTAGGTCCATACCATTTCTGTCCTTTATTGAGCCCATCTTTGCATGAAATGTTCCCTTGGTATCTCTAATTTTCTTGAAGAGATCTCTAGTCTTTCCCATTCTGTTGTTTTCCTCTATTTCTTTGCATTGATCACTGAGGAAGGCTTTCTTATCTCTCCTTGCTATTCTTTGGAACTCTGCATTCAAATGGGAATATCTTTCCTTTTCTCCTTTGCTTTTCACTTCTCTTCTTTTCACAGCTATTTGTAAGGCCTCCTCAGACAACCATTTTGCCTTTTTGCATTTCTTTTCCATGGGGATGGTCTTGATCCCTGTCTCCTGTACAATGTCACGAACCTCCGTCCATAGTTCATCAGGCACTCTGTCTATCAGATCTAGTCCCTTAAATCTATTTCTCACTTCCACTGTATAGTCATAAGGGATTTGATTTAGGTCATACCTGAATGGTCTAGTGGTTTTCCCTACTTTCCTCAATTTAAGTCTGAATTTGGCAATAAGGAGTTCATGATCTGAGCCACAGTCAGCTCCCAGTCTTGTTTTTGCTGACGTATAGAGCCTCTCCATCTTTGGCTGCAAACAATATGTTGTGAAAGTAGCTCAGTTGTGTCCAACTCTTTGTGACCACATGGACTCTACAGTCCATGGAATTCTCCAGGCCAGAATAATGGAGTGGGTAATCCTTTCCCATCTCCAGAGGGTCTAATCAAAGAATATAATCAATCTGATTTCAGTATTGGCCATCTGGTGATGTCCATGTGTAGAGTCATCTCTTGTGTTGTTGGAAGAGGGTGTTTGCTATGACCAGTGCATTCTCTTGGCAAAACTCTGTTAGCCTTTACCCTGTTTCATTTTGTACTCCAAGGCCAAATTTGCCTGTTACTCCAGGCATCTCTTGACTTCCTACTTTTGCATTCCAGTCCCCTATGATGAAAAGGACATCTTTTGGGGGTGTTAGTTTTAGAAGGTCTTGTAGGTCTTCACAGAATCATTCAACTTTAGTTTCTTCAGCATTACTGGTTGGGGCATAGGCTTGGATTACTGTGATACTGAATGGTTTGCCTTGGAAATGAACAGAGATCATTCTGTCATTTTTGAGATTGCACCCAAGTACTGCATTTCGGACTCTTTTGTTGACTATGATGGTTACTCCATTTCTTCTAAGGGATTCTTGCCCTCAGTAGTAGATATAATGGTCATCTGAGTTAAATTCGCCCATTCCAGTCCATTTTAGTTCGGTGATTCCTA